TTGTGTCAGTTATTCTTTATATATTCTACATTTCTACAATATGCATGTATGACTTAATTGAATAAAGCATTTGAAAAGATTGTGCACACCCTTACTGGACACACTTTTGTACACAATTTTAGTTTACCGTACTTATGAAAGATTCTCTTAATCTAACCGCTCATATAATTTTACCCATGACTACATTACAAATTGTGGAACTATAAATAGCATATAAATCTAATGCACAAAAACAGAGCATTGCATCATAGCAACTCCCATCTTATCAGTTTAAAAAGAACTATCAGTTCTTTGTTCTTGCTGTAAAATACAGCTACACTTGGCTGGGGTATAAACATTTTAAATGTAGAATATTTCTCCAAGAACAAGACAATCAACAAAAGGAGTTCTTCTGCCAATTTACAGTTAAAAGAAACACGAACGCATACGGTGTTATAGGATCAACATTGCCCAAGGTGCTTAAATGCTTTCATTTAGGGATGTGCATGGGCAAAAAATTTGGTCCAGCAATTCGGGTAAGTAAAAATATTTGTCTGCTTCGGCAATTCAGACCAATTGCATTCAGTTCGGTACTATAAAACTTTGTAAGCATCTGAATTGCAAGAAACAAATTGCACATGTCTAGTAAGTGGTTGTGGTGGCAGTCCGGGCACTGGGAGCCCTATACATGTGTAAGTGGTTGTGTGGCAATCATGGCACTGGGAGCCCTACAGATGTATAAGTGGTTGTGGTGGCAGTCCGGGCACTTGGAGCCCTATAGATGTGTAAGTGGTTGTGGTAGCAGTCCATGGGCAGGGGGCTCCCAGTGCACGGGCTGCCACCAGGACACAAAACAACAACTTCAGGAATATCGTGTCAGGAATACATGTTTGTATTCACAGTAGGGCTAGCTGGAGATTGGATTAGCATGCTGTGACAATCTGTCTGCTGGGGTCTACAGCTATTCCTAATCTGTTTAAGTTGTGATCCTGATAAATATCCCAGAATTTGATGAATATAGAAAACAGGACCTGCTTACAGTGATACAACATGCATTTACTAGTGCTTAACAAGCAAGATTTAAACCTACATCTGGCCTTTTTCAATCCTGGTAGAAGGAGGTTGAAATGTTGCCAGTTCTACATCCTTTCTTCTTTCAAATGTTTAATAGCTGTGATTGGTTTTGATAGAACCATAGAATCATTATTTTTAGTAAGTACTCCATTTGCATTCAGGGAATGGAAGACATCTTTTCCTGGACCATTATAAGCAAGGTAAACAGAAAAACAAATGCATTTTAACCCCTTAAGGACCAAACTTCTGGAATAAAAGGGAATCATGACATGTCAAACACGTCGTGTCCTTAAGGAGTTAATAAGTCTATGCTCACGCACTTCTTGTTCAAGCACCCACTCTCATGCTTGTTTAGGACACACCATAGTGTTTATTTTTTTTTGGGGGGGGGAGGAGGTTTTGTTTTTTTTTTTTTAAACATTTGCCTTTTTAATCTCCACATTGATTTATTTTCTTTTTAAATAAAGGATTGCATCTAGTCAGGATTCTGCAGTGTTAAAAAATTATTTAGATTTAGAGTTCACCCTACTCCTCTAAAAAATAGGTTATTTGCCTTTAATCTACTAGTAAAAAGGTATTTTCGTTTCAACTTTGCTCACATGCACAGCAATTGCCATACTGCACCAGCACTCCTTCTCACTGAGAAGCATTTAATCCATTCTAATTCCAACTGAGACGCCTCACTTCTACAACCATGATTTATCTTCAAATTGGCACTTTTAAAAATTTAGAAATATGACACAGCAATCTGAAGTGCTTTAAGTGCTTAAGGGTTTGGCGTGTTAATCTGATTCTGATAAAATAAAGTACATATTAATTAATCCTATCCATGATGAGATTATGGGCAGTTGGGTGAGGAGTTCTGATCACCAAGTAGAAGCTTCATTATTTAGATGGTTTGTGTGTATATTAAGTGTCCCCAGAGAACATGACATATTTATATGCAATAGCATTGAATATCTCTAGAGAGATTAGAGAGTCTAATGAGCTACTTATGTTACAGTGCCCAGGATCCCTGGGACTGTCTGGCACTAATCATCGTCTAATTATTAAAAGCCACACTAAACTTATGTCAGCAGTACTAACTATAAGTGGCAACATTTGACATTTCTTTTTATTTATTTTGGAAAGTACATAAATTGTATAATACATATTATTTGTGTTACTTAAAGGACCACTCTAGGCACCCAGACAAATTCAGCTTAATGAAGTGGTCTGGGTGCCAGGTCCCTCTAGGATTAACCCTTTTTTTAATCAACATGTTTATAAATGGGTTAATCCAGCCTCTAAAGCCTCTAGTGGCTGTCTTATTGACAGCCGCAAGAGGCGTTTGCGTGCTTCTAACTGTGAAAATCACAGGGAGAAGACGCGAGCGTCCATAGGAAAGCATTATGAATGCTTTCCTATGGACTGGCTGAATGCGCACTATAGTGCCAGGAAAACGAGTATGTTTTCCTGGCACTATAGTGGTCCTTTAAAAGGGACACTATTTACCAGAACAACCAAGCTTAATGTAGTTGTTCTGGTGAGTTCAATAGCTCCCTTCAGGCTTTTTTTTTTTTTTTTCAGAGAAAATGCAGGGTTTACATTGCCCCTAGGGACACCTCCAAGTGGCCACTCCTAAGATGTCCACTGAAGGGGCTTTTGGGGTCAGTGCTGCAGAAAAAGCAGCCCTGAAATTCAGCGTCCTCACGCTCTGCATTGAGACGCTGAATTTTCCTCATTTAGATGCACTGATTCAATGCACCTCTATGAGGAGGTCCTGATTGGCCAAAACGGCATGGGAAAGCATAAGATTGGCTAAAAATCTGCCATTTCGATGATGTCACAAAGGGGGCAGAGCCAGCGTGGCGCTGGAAATAAGGTTAGTTTTATACTTTTATAGGTGGGCTAAGAGGGGGGCAAGCCACCAAAATGGTGGGTTTAACACTATAGGGTCAGGAATACAGGTTTGTGTCCTTGACCCTATAGTGATCCTTTAATTATAAACATTCAGCTGAGGTATTTATTCACTAAACTGGAAATATCGAGGAACTGAAAAAAGAATTTGGAAATTGCAGCCCAAAATAATGAAACTGCAAAAAGTTTTCAAATTCAGCTATTGTAGTATAACATTCCCTTTTTAGCTCTCCACAAGTCCTGATTTAGTAATTCAACCCCAGAGTATATAAATATAAATTTTGCTCTTGTTCAAATAATAAAACAGTTTCCATATCATCTTGAAATTATACTTGTAGAGGAGATTGAGTTCCAAACGATAGAAATGTATCTCAAAGAAACTTCTTTGATATAGCATTGACAACATTTTTTGCTACTACTAACTACATTTATTGATGCTTAGTACGTATTTAAGTTTTCTAATGAGCTTCTACGAAATTTGAACAGTGAATTGTAGATTTTGCAGGTGGTACAACGGTCATCCAATCAACCTCTTAAAACATTTTTACCCAGGTTTCTTTCACATTTTCCTGAACATGACGGCATTCTTTTATATTCTTTTCTATATCCAACATATTGTGTATTCTATATCATACATGGAGAAGAAGGATTCTTGTTGAGATTTTAATTGCTAAGTTTGAGGGCATCATCACCAAAATAGTGTGCTGGCAAGGATCAAGCACACAGTGGTTGCCCCAGCACCAACCCAACAAATACCTACCTACTGAAGTTACATCCGCGCATTGCACCTGCCACAATGTAAAAAGGACACTAGGCAAGCCATTTCTCCCTATTTATCTCCCAAGCAATAATTCTTAAAATAAACAAAAACCTCTAGTTCATATGTGACCATATTCCCTCACAATTCATCTCTTCAGTGCATCTTCCTATGCTCCATAGAACATCTTCTACATCCCTCCTCAGTACATACGCCCATATCTACAGTACATTTCTCGCAGTCATTTGCTTCCCCAGCTCTGTTCAGCCACATAACTTCATTCAATCATCTCCATATCCAGAATATCTGCAAAAACACATATTTCTGTCACATCTTCAGTCCACCCCCCCAAACTTTCCAAAACATCTAGTCAGTTCATCTACAAGCTTTATTACCCAAGTTGATCACCCAACCCAGTTAAACTCTTCACATCCATTCCCTCCAGCAGATTTGAAATTTCCCCTACCTCTATCCCAGTTCACCTCCCCACAATCAATCAATTAATCAGTATATCCCATATACAAATGTTCTCATACACAATTATTTATACATACATATATACACACACACACACACACACACACACACACACACTTATGCCCTGAAGCCCAGTGAGAGTGTGAGGAGGTGGTCATGACTTAACCATTCCTACTGTAGGGTTGCGGGAGCTGGTGTTTGTACTAGATTCCACAGTACCACCAATGAGATGGGGGGGGGAGGGGGAGAAGGGAAGGGAGGGAATAAAGCCCCCCTTTAAAAAGGCTGCAAGGGTACAATATCTGCAGATATACAAACACACACCATATATAGTATGGCAAGTATAAAATCACTTTTCCCAAAGCACTTCCATGTAATTGCACACCTTCCAAACATGGTAAAATAATGGTGAGAAGTGTTAAACAAAATTCTAAATTATTATAATAGTGTCACAGTCCAACAAATTATTTACTCTTCATCATGCAATGCTGTGACACAAATATGATATTTGTTCATTTTGGTTAACACCATTATTTTACGCTTTTTATGGAACGTAAACATTTTGTTTGCTGAGGTGTATCGGGGATACACTGGGTGAAGACCAGGTTTTGGAGTAGCTTCTGAATGCTTACCATCCAAACATGCAATGCACACACAGTAAGGCAAACGTGGTCCTGTAGCAGAAAAAGGTTTATTACATGGATTAAAAACAACTGCTGGATAGTGATGTCCCGAACGGTTCACGAACTGTTCGCCACGAACGGTTCGCCGCGGACTCATATTGAGTAAACTTTGACCCTGTACCTCACAGTCAGCAGACACATTCCAGCCAATCAGCAGCAGACCCTCCCTCCCAGACCCTCCTACCTCCTGGACAGCATCCATTTTACATTCATTGTGAAGCTGCATTCTTAGTGAGCTGTCCAGGAGGTGGGAGGGTCTGGGAGGGAGGGTCTGCTGCTGATTGGCTGGAATGTGTCTGCTGACTGTGAGGTACAGGGTCAAAGTTTACTCAATGATGAGTCTGCGGCGAACCGTTCGGGACATCACTACTGCTGGAACATAAAATAATTGTCTGGAGCTAGTCAGAGAGATGAGCTGTGAATTTTTCAAAAGGTGATATGGCTTTTTGGAGTAGATGATGTTTTATGCTAATCCAATAATTCCAGGGCAAAAGACAAAGGGATTCCTGAACCATCTCACTTTCAAACTTTGTATCAGCTGGCTCCCGTGATTGTAGTTTCATCCTTTGCTCTCTCTGTATTGTGGCTATAGATGCTTTCCTTCATGCTCACATCCTGCTCTCTTTGTTTTAATAGTTGATTCTTGGTCTCTTGTTGTACATCCGCTGCTCCCTCATGGATAAATACTTGTTTCTTTTGCACTTCCACTGGTCCTTCCATATCCTTAATACATGACTGTTCACCATCTACTCCTTCTGCATAAGACATGCCCAGTCTTTCACTCTTCTGATCATTTGATAAAATATCTGTTCCTTCTAGTTTCCGCCTTTTTTTTGCATGGTAAAGATGTGATTTCGATTTTGTGTGAGCTGTTGCAGGTAAATGGAACATAATACAGACTTAAATCATAGACAATTTAACTTTTTTCTTTTTTCCCCACAGAGTGACTTTATATGAGTAAATGGTGACAACAAGAACAAGACTTAAGCATTTGCTACTTACCAGCCCACTCTCGATCCCCAATGATGACTTTGTCACAGACATCACATTGGTTTCTACTACGCTTATTCTCGTTTTTGTCACATGCCATCTGTAGAGGATGAATTGCTGGAGTTTGACCCTGGTTATAGAAATAAGGCTGTTTATACACCAACGGAAACGACATCATTGCAAAATGAATAGATTTGGTCCTAAGCACGTATCACTGTCAATGTCTATGCACAGAGAGGCCATTACAGGGTAGCCTCTAGCGGTTATAGAACTGGTATTAACATGAAAGTTGTTGCTCTAAAGTAGCTGGAATCACCTTGCTGGCTACCAGCAGACCCTAGTTCTGAAAATAAAAAATACAAATTCTAGTCTTGTATATTTCTCTGAAAATAAATATCTAAAATCTACTAACTAGATGGCTTTGACTCTAATCATCACGTCTAGTGTAAAACAAACTTGCATATCCTAAAATTTTACTTAACCCCTTAAGGACACAACTTCTGGAATAAAAGGGAATCATGGTGTAATATTTCCGTCATGTGTCCTTAAGGGGTTAAGTAACTAATGGCTCTAATACTAGAACACTACTACCATATTACTGCCATAGAAAGTTTCCTACTCGGGCATAGATAAACTTTAGTGTTACAACTAGGCAGTACTAAGAATGCATGTGGATAAGAAATCAGCCCATGTAACGAGGTAGATTAAATTCTACAGTTAGCTGCAGGGGTACAATGTAGGCTTACAGGGTACTTATAAGTTCTATTGAAAATCTGACAAACCTGCTTAAAACAATTTACAATCTCCAGAGCAGGTGCAAGAACACATTCATCCCAGGCAGATAAATCTGTAACATCCAGCTTATATACATGGGGCACATTTGCTCCAGGTCCTAAAACACATAGAAGAGGCACATTCCTATATGCATAAAGAGTAGTTCATTGCAGAATTTAACAAACCTAGACCCACCCTCTGTATTAAGATGCTCATTTCCACAAAGTAATGAGGAATATATCCTGCTTTGCAGCAATTTAGCTGTACAGCTTCTAAGATGCTTAGGCATGATGCTCCGACACCTGAGAACATGAAAACAGCTCTGTCAGGATGTTTGGATTTTTCTGCCACAGTTTTAAATGAAAAAAAGATAATCAATGCTAGTTAGAGTGTCTCGCAGACACAGACTTCAGTAACACTGTATGAAGTGATATGGCAGGCCCAGCATTCCACCTGCTATGCAGTGAATGGGAGACTTGCTTCAGGCTGAGCACCTGTCTTAAGCGTTGCTATTCCTAAACAGAGTCCCAGCTGCAACTATTGGCTGCAGGCCAGGAGATGGGTAGGTTGGATGAACGCCAAAAGAGATTTTTCTGGATTAACAATTAGAGTGTGGAATTAGCATAATTTTGGGGGAAACGGATTAAGAAGAACAGCAGGCAATTTTTAATCTCAGTACTGGGCTATAGAGAGTAAAGGATATAATATATCAATTTTTTTATTAGAATTACCGTCCATAAACCTATAATACACACACAATATTGGGGTTATTTGCATTGCCAGGAATTAATAAGTGAATATCAAATGTAAGGCCAAAATAGTCAAACTGGAAACATTTTTAGTGTCAGGTATGCTTCCAGTTTGCCTATTTTAGACCTAAAATTTAAATTCACCACCTGACAGGTTTCAAGTTAGTGAAAAACCCTGAATTTTACAATAATAATAATAATAATAATAATAATAATAATACTATAATAAACTGCTACAATGTTCTAATACAGCAAGAAAACAGATTGTATAAATAAAGACATACAAGCTATAATTAAAGGAATACACAAGGCTGGAATTAAATAAATAAAAAATATAAAAAAATATAAACGTTTTATGAAGGAATACAGTAAGCAAGAACAAGTGCAAGGTTAGTAATGAATTATAAAAACATAAGCCAAATCCTTCATCGAATTAAAAAATAAATAAAATCACCATTATAGATCTCCAAAGACCACTCATGGCACTATAACATTTTAATCTAAATTAAGTTGTTATGGTCTAAGGATATCCCAGGTGTCTGCTTACCTGAAGGTAAAATCTTCAAGCCAACACCTGATTGCTCTGCTCCTGAACTCCTCCTCCATATCCAATGCTTCAACCAGGAAGATCGGACTGAATGCTACTGGTAGGCTGAAAGTGCAACTGACTCTCTCAGCTCCTCAGGAGCTCCCCATTGAGAAAAAACAATAAAAAAAAAGAGAGAGTACCATTTTTATTATCTTTTCTCCAGACAGTCCGGGCTCTAATGATGTTGTTATGGTGACTGGAGTGTCCCGTTAAAGTAGCTCTGTCACTGTGGGGCGGAGTCGAAACGCCAAGCTGAATTTTCGCATCTACCAAGAGCTCTGCACAGCTGGGGTCTGATATACCTCAAAACAAGTGAGAAAACGCGATTGGCGATACTACAGCTACACCTAGCGGCCGGGAAACCAACATGGGTCGCAAGACCAAAAAAACAAAAACCCGACAAGCCAAGGAAGGGCATGGATACTGGGTACCTCCTGAGGCAAGCACACGGCACAAATGGGCCAAAGATGGCCGCCCACCTGGCCTATTCGGAGTTTTCAGACGAAAAATCAGAGGATGAGGAAATGGAGAACTTACCTTCCATACTTCCCACTCCACCGGTCTTGAAGGGTCCAGATGACTCACCGGTAACCACTGCGGTACTAAAGGTACTGCTGGCAGACCTACAGAGGAATATACTCACCGATATCCGCACAGACTTACAAGGCCTGAGGGGATAGATGGGAGACCTGGAGACTACATCTAGTGCCTGCACCCAGCAAATCACCACTCTACAGCAAGCTGTACAGGATATGCAACAGCAAGGCGAGACATATGAGCAACGCTTCGCAATGTTGGAGGACAACAGGTGCAGGAATAACTTGAAGATCAGGGGCTCCCCGGAGGATGTAGCTGCAGCTGAGTTACCACACTTACGACGACGCCTCCTACAGACGCTTCTACCTCCAAAGGATGCTAAGGCAGTGGGGAGAGATGTCTGCTTCAGACCCCCGAAGTCTCCCAGAGCCCCAAGCATCTGTACAAAGGGACCTAGCGGTGCATTTCAAACCAGCAGAGATAGAATGGCGATACAGGCTGCAGTAAAGGAGCAAACTCCCGGTTTGAAACTATGTCTCTCGTCTTCTATACCAACTTATCTGGCGGTACACTAGCATGGCGACAGTCCCTCCAACCTTTTACCACTCTCCTCCAGAAAAACGATATCCATTACAGATGGCGGTCGGAACGCACACTTCAAGTAACCAAATGTGAACACAAGCACACGGTCACAGATCTACAGGTCTCTGCTACCTGTCCTGGGACTTCCTCAGGACTCACTTGCACAAACCAAACACTGAATGACAGCTCCGGCCACCCAAGAATCCAGAGTCGGTGACCGAATTTGTTCCACTTCAAACTACAAAGGCTGCCTGTGCCACAAATACCACCTGAACACTTCATGCAGATAGCCCGTTTGTTTGGTCTTAGTTTAAGTTAAGTTTCACTGATGCACTGACCAAAAAAATAAAAAAAAATATAAAATACAAGATTTATTGAATAAAGTTTAAAATAACGACCAACGTTTCAGTCCCCGTTCGGGACTTTCTTCAGGGTCAAAAAATAACGAGACAACTGAAGACTGAAACGTTGGTCGTTATTTTAAACTTTATTCAATAAACCTTTTATTTTTAAAGACCGGAGAACAGCCATTTCTATTTTGGAATTGTGTTATGTGGAGCCCTGGTACATGCGCCCGGCAGTGAAGTGGTTAAAGCGTGAGTGCAGGGGATTTTTGCGTATATATATATATATATCCATATATATATCCAAAAGTATGGCTGCACTCACGGTTTAAAAGTCCAAAGTTTGATGAAAAAACGGTTTAAAACATCAAGTGATCAACGTTTCAGTCACATAAGACTTTCATCAGGATCATCATTATGATCCTGATGAAAGTCCTATGTGACTGAAACGTTGATCACTTGATGTTTTAAACCGTTTTTTCATTAAACTTTGGACTTTTAAACCGTGAGTGCAGCCATACTTTTGGATTTTTTTTGGATATTGAAGCTGTCTTTGGTTGGCACCCGGCCATTAAGGGACATTGGAGCGTGAGTGCAGGAGCTACTTGTATTTTTTTTATATATACACATACATACATACATACATACATATACACACACACACACTTACACTTATATATATATATATATATATTAGCTCTGTCTCTTTTTTTAATAGAATTCTTTATTTTAGA